ACAATTCCATTCGTATTTGGGCGCATTCATGTTCAATGGCTTCTCTCTTTCTAAATTATTGAAAATATAGTCAAAATGCAGTGTAAAAACAATAAAATGATACTTCCAAATACTTTAACGTTTTTAAAGTAATAAAATTACAATAAACCTCAAGGTTAAAATTGTTGAAAATGTGTTTACATTTTTTGGGACACCCTGTAGTTTTAGGGCAACTGTTTTGCAAACACTTATGAAGAGTCTTGTCTTTAAGGTTGCTATAATTACTGAGGGGAAGATTTTGTAGGCTACGCAACAACGGACTGTGGGCAAATGTGCGAGGCAGCAAGGGGAAAAGAATAAGATTTTGGCGGGCTTGAGGAGAGGGAGAAGGATGAGGAGGAAGCGTAAGGATATTGTGAAAGACAGAGGTAAACAGATTGCTCAAAAAGAAGTAAACCAAAAAAGTAAACAATTTTCTCGGGTTTTAGGCTTGTTATTTTTTCTGCTTTGTCATCTATCTAAACGGTGGGGAAAAGATGAAAGTCCCTTTTTCGAAAAGCGCTCCCAGCATGAGCAAAGGGGACTCAAATGTCGAGTCGAAAACCTCTGAGAAAATCAAAACTACGCCTACTAAATAGCACTCAGTAGGCATTTAAGTATAAATAAAAAATAATTCACTACCAGAGACTAATGGATCAGTTGCCGTCGTCGACCAGCTATAATTCAAGCTAAGCCTAAGAAGAGCTGAGAGCTAGACTAACTTATTTGGTCAACACGTATTTGTGACAGGACCACCAACTGGCATCCACAGTATAAAAGGTTATAAACAGCTAAGATCAAACTTCGCTCCGAGAGGGAATTTAAAGACCACTCCCAAAGACTGACTTGCATCAATTTTTGATGATGGCCTAAAGGCTTTGACGTAAGCTGCCATTCGGGCTGGTGCGCGGAGCGTGAAACAACAAATACAGTACGGCTCCAAATTCGTGCAACATGCCGAAATTTTCGAAAGATTGATACTCACTCGCTAATCAGCATTGAGTAAGGTTGTAATACTGATTATTGTGTAGCCTATTCGCAAGTCATTTCAGTCACAAGAGGATGCCAAATAATTTTGAGACCTACCGACTGCTACATCTGAATTCAAGGTTTACAAACTGCGCGCTGTGTACATCTTGTTTGAGGAAAAATACGATTCTGTCTACGGTTTAAGGAAGAAGTCACATAGTTCATAGAAATGTTGTAATAGATGTAGGTCATGCTGAATACATTAAAGTCAGCATTAATAAATTGACGGATACGATGCATTATGAATGAACACCTCATAACCGTTAACAGTTTCATAATTAGACACTTTTCTAAAACGCTAGGAGACCCTTTCTTTAAGCATAACATTTAAAGAAGGCGTCGTTTTCTACGAAACGAGTACAATAACGAACTTTATGTATTTGTTTTCTATTATTAGGTGGTTTGGAATATGTTTGAATTTATAAAGACAGTCAAAATCAATTACAAAAATGCATACTACATAAGTAGCTATTCTGTGCAGTACATAATTTTTGTAAGTGGTCGGAAAGAAGCTCGTTAAGAAGCCAGCATCCTGTTGTGACTGAAATGACTGACAAATAGGCTACACGATAATCAATATTACGGCCTTATTCAATGCCGATTATCGAGTGAGTATCAATCTTTCTAAAATGTCGGCATTTTGCACGAATTCGGAGTCGTACTGCATGCTTCAGAAAGTGCTAGTGGGCTGTCGGCCAAAAAGTGGTTAGTATTCTGTAAATCTAGAGGAAATTCTTCAGCACCTGGACACGGACAAGTCACGTTTTCCTTTCTATGTGATCTTTTTTTCAACCGTCTAAGACAGATTGTTTATTTTCAGTAAGTTAGTAATTTTTCTAGCATGCTGTGCCCTGTGGTTTTACGATAGGACTCTCAAAATACAAACATGCGTCCTCAAAAAACAGAAGACTAATTCAATTTTTCTTATCAGTCATGACACTGGCTTTACTCAAAAATCCTTATACATTTCAGTGCCAAATGGGGTTATGAAAAATGTATTGATCAGCAAATCCATGACAACTTCTGGGCACTCAACTGGCACTAAAATTTTAACCTTTTCCGCGAATACACCCGATTATTTTTACATGGAAGCCTATCCTTCGTTTTATTGTTGAGCATGTTTTGGAGAAATATGAAGTACTGCAAACATTATTTGTCAGTGAGGTCATACGATGAGTTATCTGAAGTCTATAACTTGGAGTCTTTTAGGAGTAACCACCATACTGATTTTACTACGTATGCAGTGTTTGGCACAGAAATATCTTCTTCCCTGAACTTTCTTCCTACAAAGTACCTTTCTGCTACTTTTTAAATAAACAGGCAACGCAACTACGTTATTCCATTTTTAAGAAAGTATTTACATTTAAAAAAATAGGTCTGTCCAGTCTCGCTGGTATAATTTCAGCTGTTTTCACACTCATGTATATGTCTGATAATCAAGCATTTCAGTAACGCGACTCACCTCATCCAGGTAGATCAGGGCTCTGGCGAATGCCTTCCGCTTTATCAAGTGTCTGCCGATGTTGAGGTAGGCATCGAAGGCGTTATAAATAATTTCCTCTCCGGATTCATCAGACATCCCGGCGAAGCGGCTCGCCACAAGGGCCAAAGAGACTGCAACCTCTGTTAGTGTCGCGTGCGGGGAGATCGATAACTTTTAATTAGAGCATGGCACCCACGTGGTCACTGTAATGAACCATTCCGGACCATGGGTGTTTGAATGAGCCAAGGTCATTTTTCGCCCGGACGCGGATGAGGATGGTGCGGTCGTCTGTTGGTGAAGATGCCGATGTTTCTGTCCATTTCCCTCGCCGACACCGCTCCTCTCCCCCCCCCGTTACCATATCGTATCGTTCCGTACCGATGTGTCCTTAACGTCAGCACCTCCACGGCCCTCACCCGCAGTTGTCGACATCGCTGCACTCCTCATCGGTATCTAACTGATATTCTGTGATCACCCCTCACTCCAAACTGATCGATTGTACAGTCCTTTGGTAATCTTTTGTATCGCATCCTTCCCCTTTTTACATTTTACCAATTCCTTTATCTCAACATCTCTTACTTGTAACTATCTCTTTATTCTTCTATCTTCCTATGCGTATGTGTGCTTGCGGTTATTAACAACCCCGTCCGATGTTACATCCGGAGATCTATACAGGTGAGTTACTCCTTTAGATGTTTACCAACCTCAGCGTCCTCGGCCGCTAAAATCCAACAAGGCCATTTCTCTTGTTATGCGACGCCAAAGGAATGTTTCTACTTATACATTTTAGGGGTGAGCTGGGGCTTCTACACAGAGACGATTCGGTCTTTGGTCAAAGTTCAAGCTTCGAGGATAATAAGTCGGCTAACAAATACGAATGGTAGGTTTGAGTAGTCGCTGTGGCTGTCTGCAAAAATCATGCCTTTCCATTATGTATAGTGGCTTTTATCAAGGGTGTATAGTTCTGAAGTGTTTTATCCTTGTCCTTTTTCGTTGCAAAAATAACTGCCGTTTTCCCTAAATGTTTTTGTTCTTGATTCCAAGTAATTTCTAGGTCCGCAACTAGGTCTCCACTTGCTCCCATGATTTCGCAGCTATTTACTTGTTAGTTACCGATACCACTATGATTTCCGCCCAACACTTTTTACTTCATATTGAAGTTTTGGAACAACGTGGAAAATGCTAACCCCACAGCTACATGGATACAGAAAAATCTAGCGAAAGGACAGTCCGTACCATTCCTGTAATAGCGCTAAGCTTACGAACAAATCAAACTCAAATTCAACTTGCTGCTCTCCATGGACTGTGATCACGGGAGGACCGTTTGATGATGGAAAACAAACCAGAAACCGCCGTTTCACTGAGCGTGGTCCACTTTCGTGTCTTTTCATTTATAATTATCGGCGTTTAATCAATCGGACTACCTAGATGACTAAATGATAAGCCGATCTATGCATCAAAGAGGACTGCACACCCACTCATTTAAAGGCACTTTCCAAAAGAGTAGCCAACTCTGATTCGCATCGAACGGGAGTAACCTGACATCCACTAACTATGTCTTTTACATGCGTCTGTGGGGCTGGAGGAGTTCCACGGTTGGCCTGTAGCATACTTTTGTTTGGAGAGATAGCATTTCTGGCAGAGACAAGGGAGACTGGAATGGCCATTTCTGACTTATCAGCCGTCCTCAGCCGGTCTTACCCAGACCCAAGTGGTGCCCCACTCGAGCCTCGAACTCGCGAGCTTTTGATTAGAGCCAAATGCCTTAACCGTTGAGGCACGAGCTCGTTGTCTAACCGGTTTAGGTCAGGGCATATTGACACTCGTTGATGAACGTTCATCTGACTGCTAACGGGACTCATCTGTCCCGCTCTGCCTTCGGTCCCTGCAGAGGCCCTAACAGCCGTAACATCTGGTAGTATAGGTAGATATTATTACCGACAAGGACAATAAATCCCGTTAGTGGTCAGGTGAACGTTCCTCAACGAGTGTCAATATCCCCTGACATAAACCAGCCAGACAACGAGCTCGCAGCTCAATGGTTAGGGCGTTAGACTCCGATCGGAAAGGTCACGAGTTTGAGGCTCGATTGGGGCACGACTTGGATCCAGGTATGACTGGCCGATGACTGCTAATAAGCCAGAAATGGTCATTCCGGTCTCCCTTTGCTTTGTCGGTAATAATATCTACCTATACAACCAACTATTACGGCTGTCAGGGCCTCTGACGAGACCTAAGGCAGAACGGGACAGGTAAGTCCTGTTAGCGGCGAGGTGAACGTTCATCAACAAATACTTTTGTTTCGGAGCAGGACATTTTTTCGATCCTATTATATAGAAGGATTTAGAACATTTAGTAAGAAACTGAGGATGCTAGGGAGCATTTTTGCCGGCCGAACCTAGGCAGACCGTCTGATTTTCCGTCTTCAGCCAGTAACGTCTCAGTCACAATTAGGTAGGATTGCTTGTTGTTATGCAGATGCCTGTGAGAACTCCAGACAGCCGGAACTCCAAGAGGAGAGTAAGGTCACATGTCTTGTTCTGCATGCAGACTCTAATCGCATGATATAATGAAGCATATTTTGCACAAATTATGTAATTATTTACCATACTGGCAACAGAAGTACTAGCTAAAAGCCCAGACATTTGTTTTGCCGATATTCTGTCGCTGTGAGGGGGTTCGGCTCATCAGTAGGTTCCCCGGCATTCCCTGTGTGCTGTCTGTTAAATAATCCAGTTTGAACGTTATAGCCCTTTAATTTCCACAGAAACTTATTTTGACCTTGGAGTAGATCAGTATATTCAAGGTTTATAGACGCAGACCGAAATTTTAATGCAAAATTTGGGTGAAGTCCGTCAGTTAGTGTGGGATAACAGCATAATATTTACAAGCTGCCAATACGCAGACAGTGGTATTACTGATGCAATTATTTACCATATTGACAGCTCAGAGAATGCTGTGGGACCCATTTGTTAACCGAAACTTTCGCAGGTATACCATGCAGCTGCAGAATATCGGCGAAAAGTTTGGTAAATAATTACATCAGTTATGCTACTGTCAGCCTCTTGGCAGCTTGTAAATGCCACGCAGTTATCTCGTGCTGGCTAATGGGCTTCGGCAAAAGTCTTTACATAAACATTTTAGTCTGTCGACAGAAGCAAAGATGCGATTTCCAGGAAGCAGTTCAGAAAAAGAACATGCGATCAGTGGAACAAAGCAACCACGTCAGAGAAACCGAGAGATTACCCCGGACGCGAATGGCCGAGCATGCAGCGGCGGTGAGGAAACAGGACGCTAATTCCCTAATTACTGCTCAATCGACGGGACCCGGCCATATTTTCAAGTTTAACGAGGCCGAAATCCTCGCAAGTGGTGACAACCGCGTGAGCCGCGACCTGCTCTAGTCATGGTCCTCAGGCCCACAGTCAATCAACAAGCGCAACGATTTGCCGTTCCTATACTGCGTACCGAGACATTTCCTGAGCAGGAGAATCTGTTGCGTGGGAAAGGCCGGGCCCAGCAACAACTCCAACGACAGCGAACATAATTGTCGCGCAATTAACAAGCCGGCATCCGACACGGACAACGAAATCGTGGCCAAGAGTGACTCGAAAGCGAACTGCCAAGCCATCACAGCCCCAATTACGACTTCAAGCGGTGGTTACAGGATCTGATAATTATAGTATGCACGCGGATGGCCGCTACGAACTATAAATACCCCGCAATCTGTTCATGTCTCACACCATTCTACGGTTACCTACGATTAAGGATTCTAGACAGAATCCGAAACGTCAGGAAAATAGAATTCTTGTTCCGGTGATCGCATCTTCTTCATTTGAAGTTTAGTCTGTGTCTAGAGAGATTGAATATACTGATCTACTACCAGGTCAAAATTTATTTGTGTAAATTAAAATGCGTCAATATTTTATACACAAACCCCGCTACTACAAGTTTATAGTAGTGCTGATTCAGACATTTCAGCTTTCATCCCCTTAGAAATCAAAGCGCTCACATCGAGCACATCATTCCGCATGAATTTCCGTACGCTCAGTCCAAAAGTACTGTGAATATTTGGGTCGAAGTCCATCAAATTCAGCTGGATAACCGCGTTCTATTCACACGGTAAATACAACTTTTTCATGCTACTGACTGCCTGTTGGCACTTTACGTTTCAGTTCGAATACTTTACTTCCAGCTATTGCATCAGTTTTTGAGGAGATTAAGAAACCCGAAATTTCTAATCTGTAATATCTACCAGAAAGCACATGGGAGACCTAGGGGACCCTATTGAGGAGCTAAACCCGACGCACCTCAGTCTGGCGATGGTGGCATGTCTGCGGACTATCTGTATGAACTTCTAGCTTATTCCTGTGCTGTCAGCAGTATGCATCGTGCAACGATCTAGGCATGGTCAAAATGTGATAGGCGAATTAACTGCCTCCTTTTGGCATACTAAGCAGCCTACTAATAATAAATCCTGAGAAGCGTAGGAAGAAGTTTATGGGGTTTTCAGACGGAACCATATGA